TGGGTCTTGAACTCTGGGCCTGGGTGCTGTCCCTCAGCTCTTCAGCTCAAGGCGAGCGCTGTACCACTTGAGCCACAGCGCCACTTCTGGTTTTCTGGTGGCTTATTGGAGATTAAGAGTCTTACAGACTTTCCTGCCTGGGCTGGCTTTGAACCACAATCCTCAGATCTCAGCCTCCTGAGTAGCTAGGATAACAGGCCACTGGCACCAACCTCCTCCTCCTGACTACCCTCCCCTTCCCTGCTACCCTCCCCTTCCCTGCTACCCCCCACCTCCTGATGATCGTCCCCCCTCTGATTGCTCTCCCCACCTCTGGCAACCCTCTCTCCCTGCAGCTGGAAGTGCTGACCAACCTGGCCAACGAGACCAACATCCCTACTGTCCTGCGGGAGTTCCAGGTCAGGCCGGGGCCCAGGGCTGGGGGCCAGGGGCTCTGCAGATGGCTTTGTGAAGGGAGAGCCTAGAGTCCCTTGGGACGACCTTCCGGTGCCTTCTGCTGGCTGTGGGGTTGAGGAGCCCCTGGGTAGGGGTGGCACCCCCTCTCTGGATGGCGAGGGGTACAGTGAGTGGCCACTCTTCCGGAAGGGCCCTCACATGAGCAGCAGCACGGAGGGCTTGCTGCCTGCAGGGTCACTCTTGTGACGTCCCACAGACCTACATCCGCAGCATGGACAAAGACTTCGTGGCTGCTACGATCCAGGCCATTGGCCGCTGTGCAACCAACATCGGCCGAGTCCGAGACACCTGCCTCAATGGTTTGGTGCAGCTCCTGTCCAACCGCGATGGTCAGTGTCCGCGCTGCCCCGCCCTGCTGGCTGATGGGTAACCTGTCAGCCCACGTGCAAAGCACGCCCGTGGTCAGTCTGCCTCATCCACTGCCCAGGTGTTCCTACACCTCCGTGGGCTCCAGAGGAGGGGTTGGGGAGAAGCTGAGGCTCCCGCAGCTGCCAGTGTGTCTGTCCGTCTGCTTGTGGCCGTCTGGCTGGCCTGGCTCCCACACTTGTTCTTTCTCCTAGAGCTTGTGGTGGCAGAGTCGGTGGTGGTCATTAAGAAGCTGCTGCAGATGCAGCCGGCACAGCACGAGGAGATCATCAAACACTTGGCGAAGCTCACAGACAACATCCAGGTGAGGGGTAGTCCCGTGCGCCGTCGCACCCCAGCACCGTCCCAGGATTCGGGGCCCTACCGTGAAACGCTTGCGTCTCACAATAGCAGCTTGCAAGGCTCCCACAGTGGCTTGGGAAGGTCTTTTGGTGGGAGGAGGAGAGACTAGAGTGTGCGACCCGAAGGTGGGCGCCCCAGGGTCAGCCCCTCCCGGGCCGCCTCCGAGCTCCGCAGCATTGATCATAGCTGAGGATGGCTGGCTGTGTTTCCTATTGCACTGTGGATTGAAGCATCTATACTTGGTGGATACATAGCTTCAAGGGTACAGCAAATCCTGAGCGTCAGGACCAGGCCTGAGGCTCTGCGTACGCGCAGGAAGCCCTAGGGATGGCAGGGAGGCTGGCTGGAAAGGGCTTGCCTTTCCATCCTGCCCCCATTCCACGCTCAGCCAGCCCAGCCGCACACCCACATTGCCGTGCTCACCCTGGTCGGTCCCTGCCGCTCCCTGCCCCACAGGTGCCCATGGCCCGAGCCAGCATCCTGTGGCTCATTGGGGAGTACTGTGAACACGTCCCCAAGATCGCACCTGATGTGCTGAGGAAAATGGCCAAGTCGTTCACGGCAGAGGAGGACATCGTCAAGCTGCAGGTCATCAACCTGGCGGCCAAGCTCTACCTGACCAACTCGAAGCAGGTAAAGACCCAGAGCTGTGCACACTGGTCTCTTCGGTCCTTAAAAACTCCCCTAGCTGGGCTGGGAAAGTGGCTCAGTGGTAGAGCGCTTGCCTTGCATGCATGAGGCCCTGGGTTCGATTCCTCAGCACCACATAAGCAGAAAATGCTGGAAGTGGTGCTGTGGCTCTAGTGGTAGAGCGCTAGTCTTGAGCTGAAGAGCTGAGGGACAGCGCCCAGGCCCAGAGTTCAAGCCCCACGACCAAAAACAACAACAAAAACTCCCTTAGCCTGTTTGTGTGTGTGTGCGTGTGCGTACATGCATGTACGCGTGCTTGTGTACCTGTGTGCGCTTTGGGACACTTGTGGCTAACAGAAAACCCCACAGTGACAGGCCCTGATGCGTCAGTATGCATCCCAGGAGCCGTGCTGCGCTTCATTCCAAGGCCTGGTGATGGTCAGCCCTTTGTGCTCTCAGCAAGGGCCCAGGCTGTCCTTGGCTTTAGTGGTGCTGGTACGTAATGTCTTTGATCCCAGGCTGTGGTTCGCTCATAAACGGGCACATCTGGGGGCGAGGGCCTCTTGGGTATCTGACAGCCCTGACGTCCCCCAGGCGATTCTGAGAGTAGGTGTGATGCACAGCGCTTGCTGGGATGTTGGAAGCATCACCCACCCGCACCGTGCCTACTCTCACAGTCCCAATCAGCTACTCTTACCCCTGGGCAAAATCTGTTGCCTGTTTGGTTTTTTTTTTATAAAGTTTTATTGGAACATGCAGTGCTCGTTTGGCTCTGTGTTGTCGATGGCTGTTTCTGTGCTCCAGCCACAGAGTTGACTGCTTGAAACAGTCTGTGTGGCCTGGAAAGCCTACAGCAGTTACAACTGAGGCCCTGGATAGAAGAGGTTTGCAGATTCAGCAAAACATGGAGGGGCAACTGGGGTCAGGGTTGGGCCCTGCAGAGTGCAGTACCTGGCCCAGCCTGAAGGGGGCCTCCTGGCCATCATGGCCGCTAGCCTCAGCCCCAGGGACTCAGGTAGGTGGGCCACCAGGGGCGGGAAAGGTGGTGACAGTTTGTTATAGGATTATTGCTTCCTCCATTTATTTACCATACACTTCCTGACTGCTTGTTCACCTGGCACAAGTGTAGCCATGTCCTGGGGATATAACCACGTGTGTAGGACAAATTAGTCTCCACATGCTCATAGCCACAAGGGAGAAGAATACAAAATGAGCACGTTATCCACGGAGCGGCAGACAGAGCAGACAGGGAGGGATGTGGGTGTGAGTAGCCAGCTAGCGGACCAGAGGGCCGCAGCCCCAATCCGGGCACCCAGAATGGGCTGGCCAGACAACTGACACTGACCCCTAGGTCATTCTTCACTGGAAGGCGGGACGTTGCAGAATGGCTTTCGGAATCGGAGAGGTTTTCCTCCTCTCCTTCCCCTTTCTTTCTTTCTGGGTTGGGAGTGGAGGAGCTGGCGCCTGGCACGTGGGAGGGGAGAGGCTCTTCTGTGCACACTGCTGCCCTGCCATAGCTCCCCCCCCCCCGTCCCGGTGCTATGGGGGACAGTGCAGGCCGCTACAAGCCCACACAGGTCCCGACCTTCTGACGCCACAGCAGGCTAGATCCCGGTCGGGCCGAGAGATGACTGTGCCCCGTGGCTGGGCAGCAGGTCCTGATTCTTGGTAGGAAGCCCGAGGGCTCTGTGCACGCAGTGGCCCAGGGCGTAGGGCTTGGTGGTAGTGGAGGGTCAGGACACAGGAAAGCGACCCAGAGTCCATCTGCCAGGTGAGCTGCTTTCCTGTGCCACAGTCAGCACAAATGTGCTTGCTGAACAGGACAGCTCCAGAGCCTCCTGGGCCCACCCTCGGGCAGCCACTGAGCCACCTTTCCTTCCTCCCCCAGACCAAGCTGCTGACCCAGTACGTGCTGAGTCTAGCCAAGTACGACCAGAACTACGACATCCGAGACCGGGCGCGCTTCACCCGGCAGCTCATTGTCCCTTCGGAGCAGGGCGGGGCCTTCAGCCGCCATGCCAAGAAGCTCTTCCTGGCCCCCAAGCCGGCCCCGGTCTTAGAGTCATCTTTCAAAGGTGGGAGGCCTGCCTCCAGGGCAGGATGGTCCCCTGGGGAGACAGGAAGCAGCCAAGGCCCCGGCCTCAGGCTCAGCCAGCACCAGGCTTCGGTCGGAGGGGACATGGCAGTCACAGTGTCCGATCGCCCCTTTCTCTCCTGCAGCAGCTGGTGCCTACTCTCCCACCCACCAGCACTGCTGCCCTCTGGCCAGCAGGGCCCCGTCCTCTCAGGCCCCTCCAGCTCCTCCCCTGAGCAGGCTTCAGGCTTGGGAGTCCACCTCAACACGTTAAAAACCAGCAATGGGGGAGACAGCACAGCGAGGAGTGAGCGATGTGCTTCTAAGGGTCCCGAGTTCACCTGCAGCCCGCCCACCTCCCCCCCTTCCCCCCTCCCCGCCTCACCTCTGCTCCAGGGTCTGCCCTGAAAGGAGAAGGGCTCCAATCAGCCCTCTGACCACAACACCAGTGCTCGGCCTTCCTAGAGTGCCCTTCACGCTGCTTCTCTTCCCTGGACCTCAGGAATGGGGGTTTCAGCTCTGAGTCTCCCCGAGGGAAGGGCAGCCATCCTGACTTCTAGTGTGTCCCCAGATCGAGACCACTTCCAGCTGGGCTCTCTGTCCCACCTGCTCAACGCCAAGGCCACGGGCTACCAGGAGCTCCCAGACTGGCCGGAGGAAGCCCCAGACCCGTCAGTGCGGAATGTGGAGGTCAGCAAGGGTGCCCGTGCGTGTGTGTGTGTGTGTGTGTGCGCGTGCGCATGCATGCACGTTGTGCTGGCCAGGCCCCTTGACACCCTCCCCTGTGCAGGAAGAAGACCTCTCCCTTATTGAGACACGCGTGGGCCTGCTGGGCGGATACACCGAGGTTCCCCGTGTGCCGTGTGCCGCCCCTTCCCCGTGTGCTGTCCCACCCTGCAATGCTTCCTCCTTGGCAGGCAGTGCCCCCCCCCTTCTGTGGACTGGGTCTCTCTCCTCCCGACTCCCACTGGGCTGGACAAATAGGGCCCCAGGAAGATGTGAAGGGACTGCACGCACCGCCCTTTCCCCTCCATGCAAAGGGCACGCTCTCACCCACCCTGACCAGGTGCCCGAGTGGACCAAGTGCTCGAGCCGGGAGAGGAGGAAGGAGAAGGAGAAGCCCTTTTACTCCGACTCCGAGGGGGAATCTGGCCCCACCGAGTCTGCAGACAGCGGTAAGATGGCAGAGCTGCGCCCCTGGGCTCCATGTGTGATGGGCCCGCGTGGTCAGTGACTGAGCCGCTCTGTGTGTGTGTGCATGTTGCACACGCCCCTTGGTGGTGAAGCACGTAGACCTGTCTGTGTTCACATTGGTGGCGAAGCGTGTATACTGTCTGTGTTCACATGGGCTCTCTTGGCGTCGGGGGCCGAGTGGGTCAGAGGCTTGGAGCTCTGGAGCTGAGTCTGGAGCTGGGGCCCGCGTCTCCACTCAGGACGGGGGTGGGGGGCGACCAGCGACACTGTTCCTGGCAGAGCCTGAGTCTGAGAGCGAGTCAGACAGCGAGAGTGGCTCCGGGGCATCCAGCAGTGAGTCGGACAACGAAGACCAGGACGAGGACGAGGAGGAGGACAAAGGGAGAGGCAGTGCGAGGTTAGAGGACCCCACTGGACGGAGGGGCCTGTGTGGGGGCTCAGGCGTGGCCCGTGTGTCCGTGCGGCAGAGTAGGCCGCAGGTGGACCTGGCCCCGCCTCCCCCCAGCGAACAGAGTGAGGGCGAGGGAGAAAAGACGAAGAAGAGGAAGAAGGGGTCCGAGGGCGCCGGAGAAGGCTCTTCCTCCGACGATGACAGCGACTCCAGCAGCGACTCCTCAGAGTCCGAGGAGACGTCAGAGACAGAGGAGGAGCAGGCAGAAGCCGCCGCATGGAGGAGGAAAACAGTGAGGACTGGCCGGGCCTTCCCACCCCGGTCAGACGCAGCTCGGGCCTTCCCACCCCGGTCAGATGCACCTCGGGCCTTCCCACTGCTTCTCACGCCGCCCTGTTTTCTCTTCCAGCCCCCCAGCAGCAAAAGCACCCCTGCAGCCAAGGAGATCTCCCTGCTTGATCTGGAGGACTGTGAGTTTGGGTGGTGGAACTCGTGGGGGACGAAGGCTGGCCTGGGGGGCTCTGGGCCCGGCCCTGCCCAGGGAGCCTCTAGGCCGCCCGCGCCTCGCTGTCCATGGTGCTGAGCATTTGCTCCTTGCGTCCTGGGCTCCCCTCAGTCCACACCACCACACCTTGCCTTGCCACAGTCACGCCTCCCAGCGTCCAGCCTGTGTCTCCCGCCACGGTTGTGTCTGCCAGTCTGGTTGCTGACCTTGAGGGCCTGACGCTCACAGACTCCTCTCTGGTGCCCTCGGTGAGTGGGCTGGGGGAGGGACGGGGCCAGTCAGGAATGGGGGGGGGCTGGGACCCAGAATCCTTCCTGCTGTCTGCCGCACCCCCCTCGCGCTCCCCAGCTGCTGAGCCCGGTGTCCAGCGCAGGAAGGCAGGAGCTGCTGCACCGCGTGGCCGGCGAGGGCCTGGCTGTGGACTACGCCTTCAGCCGCCAGCCTTTCTCCGGGGACCCGCACATGGTGTCTGTGCACATCTATTTCTCCAACAGCTCCGACACACCCATTCGGGGGCTGCGTGTGGGCACCCCCAAACTGCCTGCTGGCATCAGCATCCAGGAATTTCCAGAAATCGGTACCAGAGGGCATAGAGCGGGGTGGGGCGGAGATGCCTGGGCGGGACCCCTTAGGCCAGGCGGGGGGTCACAGAGGTGGCACAGCCGGGCTGAGCCGAGGTGGAGCAGACAGGCCAGCGAGGCCCTGCCGGGCAGGAGGCGCCGGGAGTGGCAGACTTGTGCCTTGGAGCGAGGATGGGCAAGGGGCCGGTGTTTGGATTTCAGGAGGAAACGGGTCCAGAGAGCCAGGGCTGCAGGTGGGGGGTGGGGGGGCTGTGAACTGAGGGGAGGGCGAAGCCCTGCGCCCTCCGGGCTCCTCGGGCTCCACCGTCTCCCGTGCTCCTTCCCCGCCGCCGTCAGAGTCGCTGGCACCTGGAGAGTCTGCAACGGCTGTCCTGGGCATTAATTTCTGCGATTCCACCCAAGCTGCCAACTTCCAGCTGTGGTGGGTGTCACACGCTCGCGTGTGCATGTGCGTGCGTGTGTGCGTGAAGGTGGGCGGGCGGGAGCCGGGCGGGCGGGAGCCGGCGGGGCAGTGTCTGGGAGATCCAGGTTGGCCCTTCGGCTGCCTCTAGGTGGGGAGGAGGTTGGCCTCACCTCCTGCCTCCTCCTACCCTTCCCAGCACCCAGACCCGACAGTTCTACGTCTGCATTCAGCCTCCCGTTGGGGAGCTGATGGCCCCTGTGTTCATGAGTGAGAACGAGTTCAAGAAGGAGCAGGGTAAGCGCTCCCCACACCCTGGGCTGGTGTCCCAAGCCCCACGGGACCGGGAGGGGGGAAGGGGAGGAGCGACGGGAGTTGGGGCCTTCACTGCACTCAGCTAGCAGCGAGGTCTAGGCAGGGAAACAGCGTGTGCAGGGGCGGGGGGGGGGGGAGCAGGAAGAGGTGGGGAGAGAAGGGAGCAGGAGTGGGGGGGGAGAGGGGACCAGGGGTGGTGAGGAGGAGAGGGGAGCAGGGGTAGGGCGGGGGGAAGAGGGGAGCAGTCTGACCTAGGGCACTGGGGGGTCAAAGCTACAAGACTTTAGTCTAACATCCTGGAGCCTTCTCCCCCACCAGCATGGGGTAGGGGAAGGGGCAGGCTCTGGAAGGGTGCCCTGGGATGGTCTGTAGGCTGCAGTACCACACCCCTCTGACACTCGGGGTACAGCATGTTGGGGGTAGTCGTGGGGGACCGGCTGAAGCCTGGGCAGAGGCTGTGACCTGATTTGGGGAGGTTTTGGGCCAGAAGCGGAAGGGCGTCTGGGCACTGGCATGGTGGAGGATCTCCCAGAAAGAATGTTCTAGAAAGACTTGAACATGGCCAGACTGAAGGTACAGAGGCAAGGCCGTGAGGATGGACAAGACGGGGCGGGCTGTGTCTTCTGTGGAGGGGCGGGTGAGGAGGGTGCAGCCTGCCTCCGCAGGAAAGCTGATGGGCATGAACGAGATCACAGAGAAGCTGGTGCTGCCGGACTGCTGCTGGAGCGACCACGCCGTGGTGCAGCGGGTGACCGCCACCGCCCACCTGGGCCGCGTGCCCTGCGGGACCTCGGAGGAGTACAGGTGCCGGGGAGGAGGGATGGCCGCGGGGCCCAGCCCCGGCCCAGCTCAGTGGCCTTCAGCCCCGCCCTCCCCCCTCTACCCACCTCAGGTTTGCAGGCCGGACGCTGAGCAGCGGAAGCCTGGTCCTGCTCACTCTGGACGCCCGGCCGGCGGGAGCTGCCCAGCTCACCGTCAACAGCGAGAAGATGGTGATAGGCACCATGCTGGTGAAGGATGTGATTCAGGCTCTGACCCAGTGATGTCCACCCCCCACCCCCCAGGCCATCAGCCTCCATCCTGGCAGCCTCCCAGTCCTTCCTCCCCTGCTAGTGTTTACCACGCCCAACCCCAGCACCTAGTGACTCTCTCAGCTTTCAGTAGTTATTTATTTAGCCCAGAGCAGCCCCGCTGGGGGTGGCTGGGCCTGGCGGTGGCCTTGCAGCTTGGGGCTGGCTTTGGAACCTTTCCCACATTTTGATTGACGGGGTTCTGGGACACACTCTTATGACAGTTTGAGATGGGTAACTCAGCTTCCAGCCCCCAACGACCTACTAATTACTGCCATCCCTTGTCTGTTGAAATGAAGTCCTGATATATCCCCAGCATAAAGAAAACCCCTGAGGTACGGTGGCTCGAGCCTGTAGTTGTAGCAACCCGGAAGGGGAAGATGGCCACCTCAATTCCAGCCCGACAGGCAAAGCGGACAGAGTTGCCGGGACTCCGTGTCAGCCAGCGCCGGGGTGCAGGGGTGCAGGCCTGCATCCGTCATGGTGGAGAAGTATAAGTAGGGTTACAGCCCAGAACAGCTTAGCATAAAGGAAGATCCTGCCCGGACAAAAAGGAACACAGCAAAGGGACCAGGAGGGTGGCTGAAGTGGAAGAGCACCTGCGGAGCAGGAAGGAGGCTCCCACCTAAAACCCCCAATCACCAAACAAGAAACAAACCCCGCCTGAACACTGATCACTCAACAAGCCCTTCCACCCTTCTCTCCCCCCCCCACCCCAAAGTAAAACTACACTGGGTTTTCTGCTTATCAGTGCCAGCGTATTCTGGTGCTTTTAGTATGTACGTTCCCAGACACGTCTGTGCTGTGTAACCGTAGCGTACCATGCATCTTGATTATTGATAAATAGCATCTTTACCTATTTTCCTGCTTGTTGCTTTTTTTCTGTGTTGAGTCATACATAATGCTATTCCTTTATTTCATTTACTTTTATATACATATGTGTGTATACTACTCTACTACTGCAGGATTATTTTACAACTTATTCACTCCTATCAGGATTTAAGATTATTTTGTCTTGGGCTGGGAAGGTGGCTCAGTGGTAAAGTGCTTGCCTTGCATGCCTGAGGCCCTGGGTTTGATTCCTCAGCACCACATAAGCAAAAAGAAAAAAACCAGAAGTGGCACTGTGGCTCAAGTGGTAGAGCACTAGCCTTGAGCTGAAGAGCTGAGGG